CCTCTTCGGTTAAGAACAGTTGCTAGTCTTCGATTTTTCTAACTTACACACTTGGGTGGGCTTCTAAAGTCAGCTTCAAGGAGTCAGGAACAGTCCAGTTGACCTTGGGTCCACATTCATGTTTCTGGGGATGGTTTTAGTTCAGCCGTTTTCTAACCACTGGGGTGCTGTGGGGGAATGAGTGTCTGGGGCCAGGCCCTACTCCGTGACTTTGAACATTAGCAGCTCTTTGTTTGGTTTCCATATTAGAGTTCTGTTGCTAAGAGTAGTTCTCTGGCCCAGATGAACTTGAAAAGTTGGGGTGCAACTCAGTGGTAGAGTACTTGTCTAGCAACCACAAGGTCCCGGGTTTGACCACCCCTGCTCCCCAGCCCCAGAAATCATCATATATCCTGAAAAGCAACATACTAAACAACAAATCCCCCAAAGAACACCAAAACAGAAGGCAACTGACACTGTTGAGCCACGAGTCAGTGTCCTGGGCGCTGCACCCAACATGGGGTTTCTATTTCTTCAAGGACAATTCTGCCACATCCTTAGCTCAGTGACACATCTTTATGGTGCCTATGGATACTGAAAACCCAGTTCTTAGTTCCCTGGGGGACTGCCCTCTAACTGCTCCTTCTCACTGACAACAGCACAGTGACCCTCCAGAGTCACAGGGCTGCACACTCTACTGGGGTTCAGCTCTCACCAGTCCATGTCTTCCTGGCCTCCTCTCTCCCTCTGTCTCTGCGGGCTGCTGCTGGTCAGTCACTAGATGGAGCTCCCTTTGTCTCCTTTAGAGTCTGGGTCTTAGTGCTCTGCCTCAGCCTGGACGGGCAATGGTGGCTCCAAAGCCTGCTTGCCCCTGCCGTCAGGTGGGGCTGGCATATACACCCTCTATCACCCATCACTGAGAGGCCATTTCTAAGTTCCAAGCTCTCCTTTCAGAGCTGCTGAGAGAAGCTGGAAGCCTTCTCTCCATTGTAAATACTAAACTCAAAGATATCAGGCCAGGACACTGCCCTGCTGGGGCTCACAATCACAAGGATGGGCCTGACCCCAAATGACTTGCTACAGGAACAAAGAAAGTTGAGAACAGGGCCCGCATGGGAGAGTCACTTAAGCCCAGGAATTCAGGGCCAGCTTGGATAGTGTGCACGATCTCACCTCAAGAATAAAAATAGAAAATAAGAACGAGGTACCAGAGGAGGCTGTGACGGGGTCTGTCCTGATGGGGCTGGGAAAAATCACCCACATGAAGGTGCCCATGTCAACAGCCCAGACATCAGGGCGAATATGTATCAGGAGTCATGCATCCTACTAATTTTCAGAGTGACCCTGCTGGAAAATGCCACTCCTGGTGAAGCCGAGAGGGATGTGGGGAGACTGAACCCAGAAGGCTTCATTCCTGGGACCAAGCATGTGGTCCGTTTTCTGGAGGCATTACCAAAGGGTTAAAGTCATTTTCATTAAAATTTAAATTCCAGCAGGCGCTCTCTCACCATTTCCCCGTCCTTTGAACGTTTTGACTGGCAACCATTTCATATTTCAATCTCAGCAGAACAAATTGAATTAGATGTTCAGCCCAAGCTCACTCTGTTCAGCAAAGCCTGCGTGCGTAGCCCCAGCTGATCCTGTCCCTGCTGTTGTTGAGTGCTGGCTGTGGCTGCGCCTGCAGGACAGCTCCCCTACATCAGGACAGTGGGGCAACGGAGAGGAGGGAACACACCAGTGGAGACCACTGGGGACCACCTTGCTTTGGATGTATGCATCTTTAAAAAAGACGTTTATATCTGTGTATCTGTGTCTGTGTGTTATGTGAGTGCAGGAACCTGTGGAGGCCAGCAGAGGGCGCTGGATCCCGAGTTGGAGTTACAGGCAATAGTGAGCTGTCTGATGAGAGCTGTGTTCTTTGGAAGGGCAGTACATGCTCCTAACACCCCTGAGCCATCTCTTCAGCCCCCCACAAAGTGTGCATCTTGAGGCCTGGGACACACTTTGGTGTCCATCTGGCAAGGAACACCATGTTGAGAATGTGGAGCTGTCTTTACCTCTGATCCAGCAAGGGTCACCTGAATCAGTGAGTAGATGGGGCATCAGGACAGAGTGTGACAAGAATCAGGATGTGGAGTTTGGGGCACATGGCTCTCAGCCCTTGTTGTGGGGTTCTGGCCAGAAGCTACCTTCTCTTGGCCCTTGCTGGACCCACAGACTCCTGTCTGACAGGAGGCTCTGAGGCTTCATGTCACTGCTGGGTGCTGTCCTCAGGCTCTCCTTGCTGAAAGTCAAGGTCACTGACAATGGCTATTCTACTTCATGTTACGGGCACTGGTCACCCACAAGTTCCTCTTTACTCTGTGTGTGTGTGTGTGTGTGTGTGTGTGTGTGTATGTATGAGCACACAGAGGCCAGAAGTCAAGGTGCTTTCCTCAGTTTATTGCCACTTTTGTTTTAGGACAGGGTCTCTCACTGAACCCGGAGCTCACAGACTGGCTAGGCTTTGCCTGTCTCCACCTGCAACACTGGGATTAGAGGCCCACGCCACCTTGCCTGGCTTTACATGGGTACTGGGGACCTGAACTCAGGGCCTCATGCTTGCAGGCAGGCACCTCACTGGCAAGGCCCTCTCCCAGGCCCTCCTATTTACACTTAAAAAAAAATCTGAAGCTGTGCACAGGGGCACACAACTGCAGTTGTAGCACTCAGGAGGCTGAGGTGGGAGGACTAAGTTCTAGGCCAGCCTGGGCTACATAGCAAGACTATGTTGTCAAAACCAGTATTCCCCCCAAGTACTCTAAGGCAGGAATTCTTGTACACATTTGCAAACACAGCAAAGGAGGCTTATGGACGGAGATCATGAAGAGTCACCATAGGCTTGGAGGTCTGACCTATGTATCTTGCTGCCCGCCACCCCCCACCCCCACCCCAATGCCCCAACATCACTCCACCATGCTGGTCCTTAAGGTCTTGTGTAACCAAAGCACCTTTATTCTGCAGGCTGACTGTGCGAGCTCTGGAGCTGAGCTGCTTGCTTCATGTCTAGGGGACATCACTGCTTACCCCTCACCTCAGGATGGCACAGGTATGGCTAGGCACTCCCAGAGGAGGGTACATACCTGCATCATCAGTGTGGGAGCAACAAGCCCAGGGCCCTGTGCTCAGGTCAGCCTGGGGCCAAGCACAGCTGCTATGGTCACAGCGGGAGGGGCAGAGGAGCCAAGTGCCAAAGCTGGGCCTGGCCCAGCAGGAGTGAAGACACCCTAAGCCTTGTCCCTTCTCCCCTGCCTAAGTCCTCAGGTCCTTGCTCACTCTGGGTGGCACAGACCTGTATGCAGACAGAAGCAGTCCTCCACAGAGGTATGGGGGTGCTCCATCACCCTTTTATGTCACTCTCTGCTGGCATGATCTGGCTGTGTATATGAACTGGCTCTTGTCATCTGGTTTCAGAACCTCCCCAGGCTCTCCCAGCTGCCACAACCCTGCCCAAGTAGCCTTGCCACTGCCCCCTGCTTGCTGCACTCTGGCCTTTGGAGTGGGAGGTCTCTATCCCAGGACCCCTGCACATGCCTTTCCTGTTCGGCGCCTTTCTTCCCGTGAGCTCTCACTGTACTCACACTTGTCTCCATGTAAAGGTCCCCCTCCGCTGAGAGAACTAGTGCCCAGGCTGGTTCCTCCACAGCAGCTGCACTCAGTTCCTCTTCACACACAACCTTTGGTCCCCTGCCCCCAGCCCGGTTCCTTCAGTCACAGCACTGAATACAGGCAACAGTATGGAGTCTGAGCAAGGGTCTCAGTGGCCCTGAGCCCTTTACCCCTGGAGACAGCCTTGACAGGGTGAGGGACCACCAAGCTGGTATCCTTCTGGGATGGAATGGCACTAAGCAAAGGCAAGCAAAGCCAGGTTCAGGTCAGGGTGACGGCTGGATACCGGTGGTAGTGGGAGGGAGACAGGGAGGGAAGGAGTCACTCTGGCTTTATTGCTTAATTCTCAAGGTGTCCCCACACTGGGGCAAAGTGCCTGCCCCATACACAGAAAGTGGCCCTGGCATTGAGAGACTCTTCGGAAGGCTCCTGGGCTCTTGCTGGGGATACTACCCAGCACCCCTCAGCAGGCAGTGATGACTGGTGAGGCATGGACAGAGCATCTCACATTTACTGGATGCTGAACTCCAGTGCGGCTGGCCAAGCTGCCAATCACCACCACTGTTCAGACACTAACTACCCAGACTCGAGATGAGGTTGTGGGACTGGAGTTGCACACTGGGGGTGGCACCTGGTACTGAGACGGGACAGTACTTGAAGGGCCATGGTCGCTGCTTGTTCCTTGGTGCCATCTCCTCTTTGGCTGGTGGTGAGTTGGTATTCACAGAAAGGCTGTGCCAGGGTCCCCAGTTAGGGATGAGCTCACATGGGTGAGGCATGCATCCTGCAATGTAGCAGCCACCGGTGGTGAAGGCGCAGTTCAGCTCACAAGCTTGGCATCAGGGCCTGGCATGTGGTGCTTCAGGAGCCTCTGGGAAGACCCTTGATGGTGAGGATGAGTCCCCAGCTCTGTCCCTTGGATGAATGTGGGAGGGGCCTCTCACATAGCAGTCCTACAGAGGGGTGAGGCAGGGCTCAGGAGTCAGGGTTGAGCATCTGGGCTGTGCTTTGTGGCAGGTTTCCTTCCCAGACAGTGGCTCACTCTACCCATGGGGCTCTAGACAGGCTGTGCACCCTGCTGCAAACCCTGGAGCCTCTGCTCCCCCACCTTCATCAATATTGAGGTGCCTGGGCAGCATCAGGGCCATGGGTCAAGGAGCTGGGGGTGGGACGCGCACCATCTCAGGGGTGGATGTCAGGCCTGTGTCCACCTCATGTAGCCTGTCCCTCCATCACTGTTCACAGTGCAGGTCACTGGTGAGGTGTCTGAGCAAACACGCCCTGGACACCTTTGTCACCTTCCATCTTGCCATGCCCTGCCCCACCCCAGCACACCTGTAGTATGAAAGCCTGAGTCCCCAGGAGCCACGTACCCTGGCAGTGCCGGCTCACAGAAGGGTTTGCTCCACATCCTCGTCCTCACTGTCTTCCAGCTGCTCCAGGATCCCATCCAACACTGCAGACCGCTTTTTCTTTGGGGGCTCTGTGGGAGCCCAGATGGTGAGAGAGGAGAAAAGAACAGGAGAGAGTGAATCAGTGAGGGGGGAACAAGGAGGCAGAGGGGGAGGACACAAAGAGCAGGCAGGGGTGGGGGGAATGAGAGACAGAAGGGAAGAGGAAGCAAACACTACCTTAGTTATTAGTCTAGCCTCTGCCCAGGGTGCCTCTCTCCTGCTGCTTACAGTTGCCAGCCACCTCTCGTCTTTCATCCTTACAGCAAAGCAAAGGACTACCTTTGGGTGGCTCCTGAGTGAGCTGCCTCTTCCCTGCAGGCCAGAGGCCTAGCTGCACTGGGCAACGGCTGAAGAGACTAGAAGCCAGTTCTGCTTTTGTAGAGGCCACAGACTGTCATGGTGTGGTGAGTAGCTGGCAAACAGTAGGAGCTCAGTAAATGTTGCATGGCTGCAGAGCCCATGGAGTCCAGAGACATGGAGGTCGGAATGAGGGGTGGCTTTGAAGAAGAGGGGCTATATGATTTGGGCTTTGATGAATGTGGAGTTTTCCACAAAGGGAGGAAAAGGGATTTAGACACAGAACTGCCCCAAATGCCACTACTGAGCACCTACTGTATGCTATGGCTCTAGGGTCCTCAACAACCCCCATGCAGTTACTACTGTGTATAGTCGAGTACACAAAGTCACAGACAGCTCTGTCTAAGGCTGCAAAGTCAGGCAGTAACAGAACCAGGACCAGAACTCATGTTGTACCTAAGCCCAGTCTTTCCACCTCTAGGAAGGGAACAAGGGAGGCTGGCTCTTGCCTGCCCTATCAGTCCCTCTGTTAGTCCATCCACTTATCAGTAAAAGCCTGATTTGTAAAGCTGTCCATCTAAATTCCTGCTTTCCTGAGACTCTGCCTCCTGGGAGGCCTCCAGGTATACACTTGCCCAACCCTCTGCTCACTTCTACATGGGAGCAGCTGCAGTGCAGATCATGCTGGAGGCAGCTGTCTCTTCTTCCTCCCCAGGGTGAGTGCAACCTTGGCCCAGGGGTAGATGACCTGGGTCCCTCTCAGATCTTGAAGCCCCCACTCCACCTCATTTCTCCCATGCTGATGGGGATAATGACCCTATCTGCATCCTTGGTGTTGCCCTGACCCAGTCACCCTCACCCCACTTATGTACTCCTTCTCAGCACATGTGTCTGCAGCCTCGGCATCTCGACTAGCACCTGGTGGTGGCTCCCGAGACACCTGAGTGGAGCTGTGGGGAGACAGCTGAGTGTCTCTGGGGAGATAGCTATGCTGCCTGGGGTGGGCAAGGGGGGAGCACTTGGCAGGAACCTGGAGGCCTGGCAGTTGTGCCCATCAGGGCCAACTGCAGAAAGAAGAGGGGGCGGCCTGGCTCCCCGCGGCTTCCTCTCCTTGCTCCCAACCTCGTCCCCGCTGAGCTCCCGAGTGCACAATGGTCTCAGGAAATTGAATCGTGGGCAGGTAATAGCACTGGAAATAGATGGGCAACAAAACAAGTCCCCTGGCTTGTGCTTGACACTCTCTGCTGCTCTGTGGGTGGGGCTAGGACACACTGGCTAGGGTCCAGGCAAGTGGGGCTGAGGGGCAGATGTGGGTGCCTCCCAGGGAGTGTTGCTCAGCCTCAGGAAGACCTGACTCCTAGCACTGATCTCCTCTGTGCCCTGTCTGCCCCATCCCCCTGCGCCCCTGCCTCCCTCCAGCATCTCAGCTTTGTAGCAGAGACCTCTGACGTGCCCTGTCCCTGGAGAAAGGTGAAGCTATCACACTGTTGGTGACTGGGCCACATGGCTGGCCACTTTCTGATCCTGGTACCCACTGCTCTTGCCCCAGGGCTTCTGCACTGCTGTGCTCACTCAGGTGCGTCATCTTTTTGGTAAAGCGTTCCCCATCTTCATCTCCCTGCAACCCCTCAGTCCCCTGCTCCCCCACACACCTGCTTCCCTGAACCTGGCTTGACCTGACTTTACTGTCTGTCTCTGGAAGGCAGGCGTATTTGAGATGCCCAGTATTCCGTCCTGATAAAGGTGACCAGGAACAGCAAGGGTCAAAGGGCTCACGCTGTGGTAGGAGGGGCAGACAGAAGAGGGCACGAGGCCAAGAATGGTTTTCATAATCTTTCTTCCAGTGCCTTCTCCCAGCACAGAGACCTGACAGAGACCTGACAGCACCTACTTGGGTAGAGCTTGGTTGTAAACGAGATTGGTTCAGCCCTGTCTAGGGATGAGCCAGCCCTAGGGGAGATGGAAAGGGCCTGAACACCAGCTACCCCAGCAGATTCCCCAAGTCGGAATCCAACCGACTCCCAGCTTGGGTCCTCTGTACACTGCCTGGCTGACAGTCCTCAGGCAGGGGGCTATGGGGTGGCTTCACAGCACCCAGCACCCTTGAGTTCAGTCTGGGCTCATGGGACCAGACAGGCTGAGTCTCTACTTCTCCCCAGGCCCAGCCTCTGTCCCTTCTCCAAACAGCTGTTCTCTGGAAGAGCCCAGCTGTAGGGAATGTCACCCAGCTTTGTTTATTTACTTAGCAATCATTTAAAGAGCCAGGTCCTCTCTCTCATGCTCTGTCAGGAAGCATAGCAATGTGAAGAGAGCCAGCCCTTGTGTCTCATGACAGGCAGCTGCCATCAGCTCCCTGGAGCCTAGGGGTGCATCTGCGCTCTGGGTGCTTGACGTGGTTGGTCCTTTAGCTCGCTGTCACTGACCACACTACAGAATTCTTGCTGTATGCACCACTGCTCACCCTCAGACTTCTAGGGAAGTGAAGCATGGGTCCAGGTCCCTCCCAGGGGCCCCGAAGGAACCATGACACAGAAGCTGGTCCCCAGGCAGGTCCAGACTCTGAAGCCCACAAATATACTGTTAGCTTCCGGGGACTCTCAGTGCTTGAGCCAGGGAGCATGGCACCCATGCAGTGGGCGAGCGAGTGGGCGGCTCCTGCTGCCTGCCATCCGAGAGCCTTTGAGAGCAGCCCAAGGGCTCAGGGCCTGGTCACTCCTGCAGGGCCACTCTGCCACCACTGTGTCCCTGGGCCTGCCATAGTCCTGCATGGTGAGTGGCAGCTGCCTGTGTCTTTCTGGCTGCTGGGTCTTGGGTCCCAACACCAACTGGTGCGCTCTTGGTGTGTGCTGCACATAGGACTGAGCTGGCCAACACAGTGAGACAAAGTGTGGCCTGGGCCCCAACAGGCCATTTTCAGAAAGACCCCAGTTCCTGAGGGACACTGTAGATGGCACCATGATGCTATGGCTATGGGATCATACAGTGGCAGTCTCATGGCCTGGGAGATGTTGTTTGCTTGGGGAAACTGAGGCACAAACGGGGGTGGGTCCACACAGCTGGAGAGAAGACACACAAGTCAGTGTGTGCAGTTTCTCCTCAGAGTTCCATGGGGGGCGGGGGATGCAGGTTCAGAGACACACCTGTGTGAGAGAGCCTATGTCTTGCAGGGGGCAGCCAGGGGTCTCGTCTCAGATGGTCCAAATTCCTGTGCCTACTGAGTGTTTGGACAGATCCTGCATGGGAGGGGGCTATGGCCAGAGGCACAAAGGGGCAGGTATATGTGTGACAGAGTCCACAGTCCCTGTGCCTGGCTTTGGATCAGAAGGACCTTGTTCTCCTAAGCTGTGTGGCCTTGGCCAGGGGATGCATCTGGTGTGAGGTTTAACTTTGTCCACAAGAATAGGAACTGACTCACCCACCCCCTTCTTGGCTGTGATCACCTCAGACTGGGCCACTAGAGCCAGGTGAAGAAATCTCCACCCTACAGAGCCCTCTGCATCCCTCCCTAATACTGCCTAACTCGGCCAGGTTCTGATCTAGCTCCACTGTGGCTACACTGTGTGGCTTCAAGCAATGGGCCAGTGCTTCCGTGCTTCAGTTTCCTTATCTCTAAATGGGGCTATTAATGCCTAACTTATGGGGTGGCATGAGTCTTGAAACAGCAATGCCCACCCAGGTAGGCTAGGTCCATGGGGCAGAATGCCATGCCTTTATCACCCTGACCAATGCTGAAGGTGCCAGTTCTCTTGGGCTTGACGGCAAAGAGGACAGACAGGGCTGGCATGTGATAGGATCAATCAACAGCTACTGAGGCAATGAGCACAGGGGATTGGCTCAGATGGGTCAAAGGGGTGGGGCTGGTCCACCTCCTTCAATCGCAGGTTAGAAAACAAGAGATGTCCAGGGAGGTGCTATGGGGCTTGGGACACATGTGGCAGGCAGTGACCACAACCCCAGGACCCTGGACCCAAGCTCTGCCACTCACCAGCGAAGTCACCCTAAGCTGTCACTTCTTGGGATGGCTATGAGATGAAGGAGTCAAAGGTGGTTCTGGCAAACCATGACCAGGGATTGGGACCCCCAACTTTCCTCTGCAGGAAGTGCCAAGCCCTGTGTCCCAACTGCTGCCACCCAGCCCCCCACTGGCCTGCCTCGGCTCAGAGTGCAGCTCGCTCGGCAGGAACAGCTGTGGCAAAGCCTGCTTCCCCACGTCGGAAGCCTCGGTGGGTCTTCAGCAAACAAACACAAAGCAGAACCCAGGGAAGGTGTAAAATAAATAAACGAAACAAGCCGTGCATTCTCTTTCAGCGGTGCAGCTGCTCCCAAAGATAAACAGCAAGTGACTGTCACCGAACACCAATACCGAGAAATGAACCTGACAAAAAGCTCAGCCGGCCCCCAGCGGCCCCCCAATCCTGCCCCCTCCCCCAAACTCCAACCACCATTTCTGCATTTCTTGTGTTCCCACCTAATGGTTTTATTTTTCAATTAATTCCCTGACAGAATGCCAGCCCTCGTCTCTCCCTTCTCTGGTTGGCAATGTCGCCTGTGTAGAAGGCACAGGAGGGTGGAGAGGCAGGGTGGGCGGGGCTGGGTGTCGGAGTACAAGAGACAGTGCTTCAGCTGTACCCAGAGGAGAGGCGGCTGGTGATGAGAGGGCAGAGAAAGGATGCTGAAAGGAACCCGTCAAGAGGCAGGCAAGACAGAGTGGGCCAAGAGGGGAAGCCAGCAGGCCAGCATGCCCAGAGGTGAGTGATGTGAGGCTGGACCAGCCAGGATCAAACCCCACTGCTCCGGCTGGACACCTCAGACAAGACGCCTCACCTCTCTGGGCTCAGTTTCTATAGCTAGTGAATGAGGATGAAACATAAAGTACTCTAGGCTGCTCAGGAATACAAGCTGTGTCCCTGGACTTAGGAGGCAGAAGCAGGCAGATTCTGTGAGATGGAGGCCAGCCTGGTCTACATAGCAAGTTCTAGGCCAGCTGGGGCTACAGGGAGATCCTGTCTCAAAAAACCCCAAAAGAATACAAGCTATGTGTGGTGGCCATGCCTGGAATCCCAGCACATGGGAGGCCAGGCCAGGAAGACGGCTGGAGCCCAGGAGTTTAAAGTCCAGCCTGGATGAAATGGTCAGACCTTATTTCAGAACACAAAAAAGTGACTAGTCATGAGGACTTAGAGACTTGGCTTAGCACATGGTGACCACTTAAAGCACACTAGCTACCCTGTCCTCTGTGATCCCTGGCAGCAAACCAGCCCTGACAAACACAGCAGACACTGTCCCCTTGGGGCAGGAATTCAAGCCCCCAAGTAGGAGCCAGTGGGGACTCTTTGGAAGACAGGAAAAGCACACTGCCTGTCTACAGTGAGGTGGGCTTGCCAATCTCCTTCACTGAGCTCTCCTACCTTCTCCGCTCTGCCCACACTAGCCACCCCCACCCCTCCCTGTTCCTGGATCAGTCCAAATCCTTGTCTTAGGGACCCAGACTGATACCAATGTAAGAGGAGACTATATTGGCCAGATCGCAACCTCACACTGAGAGCACACTAAGGAGCACCTAGGATGGGAGTGAAAAGGAAAGCCAGCTACGTTAGAGAGTAGGGAGCCATGCACCCCCATCCCCTCCCTGCCTAGTAGCCACTGGTAAAACTACACAGCTTCCCCTGGGCAGGAGCCCCTGTGTTGGCTACTCCCTGGATGAAAGCCTTGCCGACTGCAGAGTGCATGCCCTGGCTAGGTGTCCCTCTGCTAAGCCAGTCACATGGGACAGAGCAGGGGGAGGGGATAGAGAGGGCAAGTCTAGCACTAGACTGTCTCTAGGCCGGAACAGAAGCTAAACATGCTTTAGCCTCACTGATCCACTACCCAGGGATACTGGGACCCACCTGTAATCCAGAGTCCCACCCTAGGAAGCACATGGGCACCTGAGACAAATGGCTGGGGACAGTAGGGGCCAGGCACCCCAAGGCTGGCTGAACCCGAACCCCTCCAAAGCTGTAATGACCCTGCTTAGGTCTGCCCCACAGCTGTATACAACAAGCACATACTAGATGCTCAGGGAACAAAGGGTGCTCTGTGGAGAGACTCAGATTGGCTCCTGACCTTCCTGGTATAGCAGGGCATTCTGGGGATGGGCCTTTTCCTAGCACCAGTTGTTAGCTACACAGCCAGCAGTCAGGTCGTAGGGCCTAGACCTATCACCTTGGGGACTTTCAGAGCCATCTAATCTACCTCTCTGTCACTGGCCCATTGCCCTGCTGATCTCAGACCTTCAGTTGGCCACGTCAAGTGTCACTGGGCATGTGCTTGTGCCAGGATAGACTGGGACATGGTGGACAAGGACCCAAGGATAAACATGGCCAGCTGCAGGGGCCATGCTGGGAATCTGTGTGGGGCTGAGGCAGGGTCTACACTTGGTCCCGCTTTCCTCAAGTCACAGATGAGACCCAGCAGCTGTGTCTGAAGGCATCATAGGCCAAGCAACAGTTAATGTACAATCAAGTGTTTTCCAACAGTCGTCAACTCTCCTGCCATGGTGAGGCTGGGGACACAGGCAGGCAAGATGGGCCCTTCACACCTGTGGGCTCTTCATAGTGGGCTGTGTGTGTGAACTTCTCTCCCTGAAATGCCACAAGTTGGGGACATGATTCTTGGGCTCTGGGGAAGTCCTGTGGGTGCAGACTCTCCACGTGGAGCCGAGGTCAGGCTAGGCTCACTCCAGGACCTTCTCACAATGCAGCCACTCAACCTGTAGCAGGAGGTGCCAGGATAGCCCTCCAATGGTCTCGGCGGGAAAGGTAGGAACAGACAGAGGTTGAGGGACAGAGTTCACATCGTACTAGCAGATTCCTACACAGAGCCCAAAAGAACCAGCTCAAGAAGCCAGGTCGTGTGGACTACTACAGAACCCTAGAGGGTTCTATCCCAATGGCCTGGGTGGGCACCAGGACTTATCACAGCCAGAGTGAAGGATTCGGGCTCTTAGGGTGTGCAAGGTTGTGTTGCTACAGGCTGGCCTCTTTCCAAGTGTTCTATCCAGTGTCTCCTGGGTGCAGCTGGACTGTGTGTGCACCAGGAGCCCTGACCTGGACCACTGTGGGCTTATCCTGGGGTAGGGAAGGGGTACAGGCTGGCCTGGGGTCTCCAGTGCTTAGTCCTGCATGTGTGGGCTACTGGGGACCTTATGCAGGCTGTGAGGAGCAAGGAGCATCTAGGTGAACGGGACTTGCTAGAGAGAAAGGATCAGGGGAGGTGGAAGCAATTTCCCATAACTCTGTTCCTCTGAGCCTTGGTGGCGTGGTCTCCACTAGCTTGATATTTCTTTTTCTTGGCCCAGGCCCTGGGTTGAAGAGGCGAAGGTGCCAGGTTACATCAGTGCAAGGGCCAGCTGGAGCCTGGTGGAGTCACAGCGTAGGAAGGTATATGCACTGTGGATGATGGCAAAAGAAAGCTGATAGGTTACTGTGCTGCATGGCTTTAGTGTCAACTTAACACACCTGGGTTGAGGGAGCCTCAACTGGGGAATTGCCTTCATTGGACTGGCCTATGGCCATGTCTGTGGGGTATTTTCTTGATTGTTGAGTGATGTGGGAGGGCCCAGCCCACTGTGGGTAGTGCCACGCCTGGGCAGGTGGGCCTGTGTTGGATAAGAAAGCAAGCTGAGCAGGGGCCAGAGGAGCAAGTCAGTAAGCAACGTTCCTCCATGGCCTGTGCTCCAGTTCCTGCTTCCAGGTTCCGGCCCTGAGTCCCTACCTTGGGCCCCCTGATGAACTGCGACCTGGGAGATGTAAACTGAGTAAACCCTTTCCTCCCCAAGTTGGTATTGGTTAGAGTATTTTGTCACAGCAATGAAGAACAAACTAAGACAGTTACATAAACACACAGAGCTCCACAGGCCTCGCGTGTCCTGGTGGAAACATGCAACCAGGGTGGTCAAACCTGATTTTCTGAGAATGGCGAGGATCCTGACTTCCAGGTCTGACCTTTCAGTGGTCACAGAGCAACCTGGCCACATGTAGGCAAGACACAGATGGCTCAGCTGGTGGCCTCTGGTCCATGTCTGCTCTCTCTCTTCCTCACTGACTACCAGCCCCAACAGTGATCAAAGCCCTGTCTGTTTTCTCTGACTCTGGTTGGGCCAGGCTGCACAACAGGTACACTGGCCAGTCATATAACCAAAGGGCAGCCCATTCCCTCTGGCCTCTCTCTCTGGTGCTCTGGTCCTCAGCCCCCAGCCCCTCACCCAATGGTGGCCAGGCCCTGCCCCTCCCACGCCACCCTGCGGTCTTCCTGTCAGTTTAATTCTGTGATCGATGAGGGGGAGCAGGCGAGATGGCCCGGCACAGCTGGCTTTCCCGTTAGCCCTAGCAGGGATTCCTGGCCTTGCCGGCGATGGCTGAGTGAAATGTTTGCAGAACGTAGAGAACACAAGTCAATAACAATTTAGCTGGATTGGGAGCAAGTACCTTCCCCGCACGGACAGCCTCTCCCGGGGGACAGAGGCACAGTGTGTAGGATATTGCCAAAGCGCTCAGAAATACTCCAAAACACTTGGTAAGGCTTGGGCATGGAGGGTGGTAGGGGTGTGGTTGGGGAGACCTGCCCCGGCTGGCCTTAGGGACCCTCAAGTATCCCGGGTGCCTGTGCTAGAAGACATCTGCTCTCTGGAGTCCCCTCTGCCTGCCTAGAATCACAGGTGCCCTGGACAGGAGCTGCCTGAACCACAATGGCTCCACTTCGTGATCCCCCTTCACCAGCTGCTCTGGCCACAAGTGTGAAGGCGAGTCTCCTGGTCACTCCCACCTACGTAGCCAGGAGCCAGGAAAGGGTAAAACTCCCCCTGGACACCCCACCCCATTCCCTCCTGGGACCCTAGGTCTGGGGTCTGACAGCCAGAGGGGCCCAGATGAAGGGCTGAAATGTGGAGCTGACAGAAAACCTGTTGCCAGGGAGCTAGAAAGAGCCTCAACTAGGGGATATTTGAATAATAAATTCTGTGACTTCGTATTACTTGCTTGAACTTTCCACCTATGATTTTGAAAGCCCGATGATCATGTCTTCATGCTAAGATCAAGGAGGCCCATTTGTGGTGGCTGACGGGAGGATAACAGGCTCTCGTGGTCCCTGGTCTTTTGAAAGCGTGCCGTCAGGCCGATGATGGAGGTGTGGAAGGGGGCGCGTGGAGACAGTGGAGGCTTTAAATATCATCTGTATGCTGATGAGTTCCAAATTTATATCGCAGTCCAGATTTCGCCCTGAGCTCTGAACTCATCCATCTATCTACTGACATCCCCTGGGGCGTCCTGGCTCATGTCTCAAACCCAGCCTGGTCAGACATACCCACCACCCCCATCCCCGCCTGTACCTGATCTCGTCTTTCCAAGTTTGCTCACTACCCAGCATCACTCTTGATTTCTTTCCTGTCTTCCTGGCCAGTTTTTCCTTCTCCCAAAACAACCAGTCCACTTGCTTCTCTCCACCCTACGGTCTGTGGCTGTGGCCCTGACCACTGTCCTCAGATGACCACACTACGATCCAGCACTACACTATAACTCCACAGCAGCAACGATGTAGTCTGACAGTGTCAATCTGACCTTGGCTTTCCCCTTCAATCTCCCACCATGAGTAGAAACCGGACTCCCCACTATGCTGGCCAGAACCCCATTGGCTTCTCCTTTGTTCCCACTCTCTACCTTGGACCTGCTCTCTAGCTTAAACATGCTTCTGCCCCAGGGACTTTGCATCT